CGAAAGCCTAACTGAAAACTTTATAAACATGGAGAAAAGGAAAACTTTCGAAAACTTAATAATGTCTGCCTAAAACCTAAAAATCAAAACTTTAAATGCCGAAAATCTGAAAGTGCATGCGCAACAACGCGATGCCTGAAATTATTTTTAAAGCTCTCGTTAACTTTTGAAAACAGGATATAACAGTCAGTAGGATATCGAGGCTTCTTTCTTCCACGGACATGCACGTTTTCTAGCCGTTCGTGCGGGTGTTTCCACACGTTGCCTTTGTGTGATAGGGCCCTTCTACGATGAGCCACCCATGCCCTTCAGAGCCGCACACTGGCACCATTGTTACTCGTGACCTATATAAGAAGGAGTCTTCTGTAAGGTAGCGAATAGGGCGAGTTGGTAAACGCTATACATGATGAAAACCGCTCAAACGACGACACGACGAAGCTGTCCTCGCAAATAAAGTTTTGTTAGTGAAATTAACAGAAAGAAAACAGCGTAGCGGACACTGATTACATTAACGGACACGTACTTATATATTAGGCCGTACACAATATTCGGAGCTGAACGGTTCACACACCGCTATTCATATTAGCTCGCAAAAAGCAAACCTCTTTATCTCACAGAGCTACCGACGCCGCACTGTCAACTGTCAATAAATTGTTGTCTTTTTTACCGGTGTACGATGTTCTGATTTTATACCCCCTTGCGGCTTCATTAATATACAAAATGGGCGATTACTAATTTCTGATGAATTCGTAAATATGGCCAATGAACTTCAAGCATATTACAAAAAAAAGTGAAAGCCGTTTACAACTCCCTGTAACGCCGAAGCTCTTGAGGAGGGGGAGGAGGGAAGGGTACTGAGGGGGGGGGGGGGGAGGGGTCATCTGACCTGGGGGGTCACGTGACCTCGGGGAGGGAGAGGGGAAGGGGGGGGGGGGGGCTCGCGGTTACGCCGACGCCGACGCCGCTCAAGCCGGAAAAGGGCGCCTAAGAGCTGCGCTCTAAAAGAGGACATATGTTTAATGAAGTGACGAATGCGAATTGTGTTAAATTGCCACATTTGACGAAGAATCCGCCAAGTTAAAGAAATTGGTGAGCTTTTCTCCGCATCCGCTCAAAGGCCGGTGAGCTTTCCTCCGCATCTGCCGGTTTTCCGGTGAGCTTATCTCCGGTGAGCTTTTCTCCGGCGCCCGGGTCTTGCAAAGTAGTTTTGCTCTAGATCTAAAACTTTGTAATTTTTTTCGTTCAGTTCTGAATTTCTGCACACTGTTGTTTAGTTAAAAAAGACATAGAAAAAAAAGCTATGTTGGAAAATACCTTCTAGTATTTTTAGGGAAAATCCCGAAGTCAGATGTCCCTCATAGAGAACTGGCATTAGTTTCACTCGTATATCTACACAATAATTTCTAAACTTACGAGAAAAATCGCAATAATACCTCGAAAAGATTCCGCCTAGCTACAAGTAGTTGAATGAACAGTTGTGAGGCCAATACATTGTTTTATACATTGCTTAATTCTACTCTTTCCTACCCTTTCCATGAATCCTATTCACTCCGGCTACAACGAACTTTAACTGCAGACACGCAAGCAAGGGCGAACTTAACACTAAGCGCAGACTTTAAGAAAGGAATAATAATAAAAAAAAGTGTAACTGCGAGGAAGGAAATCTCGAACTTCTAAATTGCTCGTTTAAACTTCCTCAGAACGATCCCGTCCGTAAGATATACACGAAACTGACTCAGTGTTATGTTGTTTCTTGTTTCATCTTTCGTGGCGGAGACTTGTCGGCGGGAGAGTCTCCAGAGATTCTGAAGTTTCAACTTCCCTCAACGACCACGAGTTCCTACCAAGAGTTTATGTCTTTTTTTTTTATTCTTTTTTTTTTTTTTTTTTTCTAAATATAGCGCGACCTCATTTTGGGTTATGCTTGAAAAGCGAAGGTCCTTCTTCTTCCAGTTTCATTTCTTTTTATCTGCTTTTCTGTTTTGGTGTTATCAAGCAGGTTTTCTCGGATTTTCTATTTTCTACTTCTGCTCCTAGATAAGGCAAAACGTTCTTGCGAATGTGTCTTCCTGAGACCGCTGCAGTATGAAAGCTACCTTCAGAATTCTTTACAAAGTTCACTGGATAAAACGAAGAGCGAAGTGGTAGTCTCCGTGTGGGGAACCATTAACAAGATATAACAGGAAAAGAAAAAGGCTAAAAAAAAGGGGAAAGGGGGTTTTACACAACATATTGCTGTGTCTAGTTGAATTTCGACTGAAGAAACCGATCCATTGCGCGAAAAGGGTGGAAGGAAAAAAAAAAGCTTTAAAAATAAGCTCACTTACGATAAACAGTGTTACGCAAACGCTATTCCCGTAAAAAAGTTCGACGCGTAAAATAAGAAAAAAAAAATAGGGAGCAAAAAGTATATTTTACTTTATAACCAAATTGTTTCTCCTCAAAGGGAGAAAAAAATAAAAAAAAAGTCAGCTTTCTCTTTTTTATTATTCACATTTTAAGAGTGACAAAATAAGAAAAAAAAAAGACTCATTAACTAGTAAATTAAAAAAAAAGGTAGCAAATGTGCACCGTTTGCAGTAATACAAAGAACAACATGTAAAAACAAATAACCGCACCATTACTAAGAGTGTCGTTGAAATAAACTCATCCTTGACCAACTCTGGAATGTCCCATTCCAAAGAGAAAGGATGCAAAAATCAAAATGAATATACACATATAGTATACGGTAGTGACCTTTCTCCATTACACCAAAGGAAGGGGAAAAAAAGTAAGCTTCGCAAAGACAGAAATTCTTTCATTATCAATCGAAAGTAAACCGACAAAGCGAAAGCAAAGCAAGTGAAAATAAGTGGCGGTTTTCCATAAAGCCATATTTTGTTTTTGTACACTCTCAAAAACAAAAGGCGCCCCCTGGCGTGCTGTGAGCGCCACCCTGACATAGTTAAGAGTCCTCAAGAACGACGGACGACTCGAGCGAAAAATACGGCAGCAACGACCAAGACCTGCCCCCCTCCCAGCGTAGGACAAAAGAACACATTACGACAAAAACTGAGGCAAAAAGAAAAAAAAAAAAAAAAAGCGCACACACACGTTAAACAAGCTTCATAAAAACTCAGCAATTCAAGCAAAACAAAAAGAACAATTATCGTGCCTTCTCTCACGTAACGTGAAGGTGAGGAATGTAGCCACGCCGCACAGAGCACCTTCACGCTCGTTTCACGTAGAAAATTCAGCGTGTCGACTCTAAAAACAATAGGAAAAAAAAAAAAAAAAAACAGGAAATGAAAAACAAAGAATGAATTTCGTGCATGTCTAAGTATGCACCGTTACGTTGGGTGTTTGTTTTGGCCGGGGGTTGAATTTGCGTCTTCAGGACATTTCTTTTGTTTCGTGAACAAGAAAAAAAAAAAAAAAACGAAAAGGAAGACGTGATGTCACGACCACAGCGTCGTGGCAAAGCTGACGACACCGACATGGCGTAATCTTGCGGCGACAAAAGCTCAAGGATTTTTTTTTTTTTTCTGTGTGAGTGCGTGTATGAGTGTGTGTGTCACTGTGTTTTGTTATTTTGTGTCACGGTGTTTTGCTGGCTGCATGTCCTAATTACTTTTTTTTTTTTAACGTTATCATCGGGATGGAGTATTCGAGAAGCAATGACGAATAAACAATGCTCAATTAGTAGGCGAAAAAAAACAATAGAGAAATTAAAATGAGGTCGATGATAGTAATACGGCGAAGAGTTAAAATATGTAGCTGACATAAAGAAACGTTATAGATAAAACATAGAACTGCGAAACATTCCATATGCGAACACAACAGGAAAAGAAAGAGTGAAAAAAATAAATAAAGGTAAGTTATCAGGGGGGGAAAAAGTAAAGAAATTCGAGTTTTTAAATCTGAAAGACACGTTCGTCGCCCCTCGTACCATGTTTGGTGTATTATTTATGTGTTAAGTTAAATTTAAAGATACACGCGACAGAAACACCATATATAAAAAAACAAGAGTAGAAAACTGCAAAATGAGAGGAAAACTGGAAATCAGGTATACGGTGATCGTCCGATAAATCCAACAAAATTCGGGAGAGAAAAAAAACTTCAGAATTAGAGTAAAATAAAAGAAAAAAACTACAAACGTATGAACCGAGGCTATACAACTTCCAAACAAAAAACAGGGAAAACGAGAGAGAGTGAAAGGGTGGGGAAGAAACAACATGGCGACTACTGACGGTTCTGGATAGAAAGCTGCGGTAACGCCCCTCATGCACCGCACAAAAGACAGTCTGCAAACAGATTCGAACGCGAGTCTCACCGCGAAATCCGTGCTTCGAATGTCAACGCGTGGCAACGAGCTCATGGAGGAAACGTGGCCGGCGGCATTGGAACCACGGACACTGCGGTGAGTCGTGTTTGCAGACTGTCCTTTGTAGGACGTTTGAGCAGCATGACCCTGGCTTTGAGGGATCCTCTTTAAAATACCTCAAAGCCAAGACTCCAGGCGGGACGTGACGCCCAAACAAAAGAAGACATTGATGGTTGACGTATTTCGCACTTGCACAAATGTCGAAAAAGCCGCGTTCGGAATGACTGATGCGAAATTTTTCGCAAAGAGACTCGCGTGCCCACGCGCGGGCGTTGACTCGGAGAATGCGCCGTCACACCGCAGATGACCAAAGTTCGTCAACACGTCCCACAGCACGAACAAACTGCAAACCGACAAAAAAAAGTGTCTCGAATTATTATTATCTGGAAGACAATGCCCAGGGTCCCTAATCTACACGGCGGGACCGAGGGATTAGGTCATCGCCGCCTGCTGCTATTGGTCGGCGGCGCGGAGCTAGCCAATCCCACCAGGTGACGCCATTCGCAGGCTTTGTCAAAACGCCTCCCGCGAATCTGGTCTCTGCGCATGCGCAGTGCCCACACCTGGAGTGGGCGAACGCGTGCCTGCTCGTGAACAACGTGACGGTGTGTGTGTGTGTAACAGCGTGCCCACCTACCTGGTGTGCATGCCGGACCGGTAGGTGGGTGGCGGCGAGACGGGCGACAGGGGCGTGGCGGTGAGCACCACGGGCGCGTGGTGGGTCGGAGCCACCACGCTGGCCGCCACGGGGGTGGCCAGGGGCACCACGCTGGGGGGCACCGCGGGACCGCCCCGGTCCAGCAGCAGCAGCCGCAGCCGGTACTCCTGCATCGACGCCTGGTACGACGGCGGCGGAGGCCTGTACTGGAACTCCGGGTACAGCATCGCTGTTCCAGGCAAGTAGGAAAAAAGAAAGCAATTAATGGCGGGCGCCGAGAGTATACCTCGGATGCGCGACAGAGCGACCTCAGCGCGGCACTCCAGCAACATCTATTTGACAGTAAGAAAGTTCAAGCGGCGCTCATACAGCTAATATATTATTCAAGCTCGATCATGCTGACAAAAACTGGTAGCAGTGATGGAAGGGCAATTTGACCCTTTGGAGCAGGTTCTGTAGAAGGCGAAATATTCGTTTGGACCAGCCACTGATGCTTTTGGAGGCGATGCGAACGTCTGTTAGCATATCACTTGAAAATTACAAAAAAAAAAGGATTGCATCACTAAATGAGTTTATATTTGATAATGACTGAGGGTTTTTCTTTAATACTGGAGCATATTACGTATTAACTTTTGTAATAAAAACCAATAGGGTACAAAAGGTACATAGAGTTTTTGTTTTAGAATAAGGCTGTTTTAGGGTAGGTTCCATTTACAATGGGTACTAATCAAACTGATGAGAAATGAACCACACTTCGGTTAGGTTAAAGCCTCCCTCCCACTTTTACACCCGGTAGTTCATTTAGCCTATATGTACTATTTCTGTAAAATGCAACCAAAAATCAACATAATCGCTAACATGTCATTCACTAAAAATGCGCCTCACGAATTTGATCGTTACCAAACTCAAGACTTAAATATTATACACTGAAAAAGAAAAAAAAAGAAAAGAAAAAACAGCCACCCACAAATGTCATGAAAACCTAATCTTGCCCTTACATTTATTCAAATAAAGCGTCGCATTTTTTCTTTTTTTTTTTCCTCGACGCAGCATTTGAAAACAAGATTATATAATTGAGATCAAAGAATGTGGACCTGCAATAGTACAAAGCATATAATTTACATGTATATCGTGCTAAACCAGACGCTCACCCATGCCATCAGCTTCTCTAAACACTCCGGTGCAAGGCGGTAAAGGTCGCAGCGTGTGTGCTGGTGAGAGGCGCCATGGAGGCATACGACAGACATAAGAATCAACTGATCTCACCAGGGGCCCTAAACTCGTCAAACACAAAGTTGCAGCCGAAAGTTCGCAGAGCGCGCTCATTGGACGTTGGCGAAAAAAGCGCAAAGTCATCGTCGTGATAGACCAATCGGAGCGCTCCGTCAACTTCGGCCCAAACTTTGTGTTTGACGAGTTTAGGCGCCCAGGAGTACAGGAGCCTGGTTCTGTCTTATCGCAGTAGCCGCTATCCTATCTGTGTATTTTGCAAAGTTTTGTCGTGACTTTTGGCTGCAACTTTGTGTTTGACGAGTTAGACCATCAACCGGCCAATGCGGTGGTCGAGCAATCTGAAAACTTCGTTTCACCTTAATTTAAAGCGCAGCCGACGCTACGAGCCAAAGGGATTAACCAAACAAGGTCAAAGCGCGACATCGGGGCATCCTACCATCTTACTGTACGTGTTCTTTCATCAATTAAACCAATCCAATGCAGCGAATGACCTGTGACTTGCGCTTTTTCTATGTGTGTTCGTATTGTATATGTTCGAGCGTTCGACTGGGCTCCGACCTATAGATGAAACAGCGTATACGGTGATTACAGACGCTGTGAAATACATATTTCTACCGTTTTTCTTTCTTTCTACTTCTTTGATTATTAAAGTCAACCAATACAAAAAATATATATATTTTTTTTTGCCCATCTCGGCGCAGGTGTGGCGCAATTCTTAGCCAAAATGGCACCTTGGAGCAAGATTAGCAGACTTTCGCTCAAGGCGCAATTTGGCACAAATGGCGCAGCACTTCCATCACTGTGGTAGGCACACAATGTGCCATAGGCCTTCCAGGGAAGAAGAGGGTCTGAACGGCACCGCCTGCCGAAGATGCAATTTCATAACACGCCGTCAGATGGCGCTATACGACTGGAAAGGCCGCGAAGCGCGCGCGAGCTAATTCACGCGCCGCGCGTGCAGCGACACATTCACCCTGGAAAGCTCATGCGGCAAAGCACTCGGCTCGCAATCTCAAGGTTGTGAGTTCAAGTCGTTTTATATGGTTCCCTATGGACGTAACGCTTTTCGGTGTCGGTTTTTTCGTTGCAACCGGCCATTACATCCAAACGTTACAGAACTCCGTGGAAATCGGCTGATAAAGCACAATCTGCGTTAAAGGACCGTCCGCACACACCTGAGGCGTGTGTCTTCGTTGTACGACGATCGTATCGCATCGTTCATACGAAATCTGACTGGAGACATGTTTGAGACATGAGACATTCGCACGAAGCAAACGCGCTTGAAACGTTCTGGAGGTATACACGTTCGCCGATCATGTTGTCATCCTGTATGCAGCGAACGCCTTTTGTATGATGCGCGAGCAGTGGGACTAGATTTATGCCACCGAGTGGCAAATGCGTCACCATAGAGACTGTGAGATACGTCAGCGTGACGTATGTGCTGCGATGACAGATACGTCGATGTTAAACACTGTTTACGCTCAAGCCCGTAACCTAAAGTCTACGCGCGCTACGAGCAGTCAAATATGTCACGGTATACAAGCTGCGAAATACGGTACGGTAAAAAACTGGCCAATACGACGACTCTATGCGCCCATATTTCTGACGAGATGACCAATACGTCATTGCGTCCCGGAACGAGCTAGCCGTCATAAACGTGATTGTGACGTATTTGACAAACTCTCAAACGGGTCACTGTCGAACTGAGTTGGTGTTCCTGGATGACTAACTGTCATACGCCAGTCAAGTGCACAGGACCGTGACGTAGTTGGCACGCTCTAACGTGTGTGCAAGCTGTGTCAATGCGCTCCACATGTCGTGACGCTATAGCAGCTGGTCACACACCATGACGAATACGTCGCAACACGCGAGTAATGTCATGTTTACCTGCCTGCCAGGCTACTCGAGCTCTACACCAAGAATGGAAGAGTTCGGCCACCTGCGTAGGGGGATCGGTGGCCGAGTGGGCTAGCGCACACCAGCTCGGGGATCCTGGGTTCAATCCCCACCCCTGCCCGTTTCGATCTGGATGAGCATCGTACCGGCGTGCGGTCATGTATCACTATACTGCGTGATGCACGACCCCAGGCTAGCGGTTGTACCGGACTGGCTAAATTGCTCACCTACAGCTGAGATACCAGAGACTCACTAAGGCAGACAAACTTTCGGCTGTATGAACACACACACACAACAATTTGCTTTGCGGCCACCTGACCACTCCTTCCGTATTGACGGCTCTGTGTCCACAGAGTTTTAGTAGATCGTTCCGATACCTCCGATAACGGCAGCCGATAACGCCATCTTGTGCTTGGTGCAGACCGTCTGACTCTTTAGACACCGTGTGGGGAAGTTCGGGGGATATAGCTCTCCTCCGTCGCGGACTGTTTTAGAACAGTTCTGGATGAGGAAAAAAGGTTTGCTACGTCTTTACAAGAAAGTTGAAATAAGTGGCAAAAATGATTTTAAGCAACAGTCGGCTGCCATGTCGCTACTCTGAACCGTAGATGATTCAGTGGCTCTATACTCCGTCTCATTCTACGGTGGACTAAAGCCCGATGCTACAGGCCGCCGGGTCAATCACGAGCCTGTTGGAAACCACGTGGTATGTTTGCCCCGTCGTACGTATCAGTGCGCCAAGACGCTACTACTGAGGACTACTGAGGACTACTAAAATGATTAAATACAGTTTGAAAACGACATGGCGAAGAGAACCCGGGATCAGAACCACTGTACATTAAGAAATCAAGATGAATTGGATTAAGCGTTCGACACGGGAGCGAAGTATGTACGGACCACGTGCGGTAGGGAGATACTGGTCCGGGTACGTACACAAAGATTGGATTGGATTGGATTGTTATGGCTAAGGAGAAACGACTTTATGTCAGTGTTGCCTGCGCGCCCTCCAACTTCTCCAAGCAGTTCACATGCTTACGAAATGTGACATGAATGTTCATGAAACTAAATACCCTGTACCTTTAGTTCGCCGATATAAAATAGCGCGCTATCACAAACGAGAACCATATGTGGAAGATTGCAGACATAACTGAAAGAGCCGCGGCCACTCACGTGTGAATTTTACGGCTAAGTTTAGCGGGTAAACTGAATGTGCACTTGGAGGTCACGTGACATCAAATCATGTGACGTCATTTTTCGCGCTAAATTTAACGGGAAAACTTACGTTCAAATCGTGGGACGTCAATTTTTCTAGATAAATCTAGATTAGAAACTGGATCTTTGTAAAGGTTACGTGAAGTCAACTGGATTGGTGTCGACGTCACGTGACCTCGACACCAATTTAGTTTCCACGCTAAATTTAGCGGGAGCATGATGTTCCATGACCATGTAACGTGACCTAAACACACATTCAGTTTCCACGCAAGATTTAGCGAGCAAAAAAGCGCCGAAAAAATATACAGGGACACAGACGAAGGGAAACAGGACAAGGCGCACTCTCAACTGATGTTTATTGAAAAATTCACACGTTATATAGCCACACACACAAAAAAAAAAAAAAAAAAAATTAGCGGGGAAAATAAATAGCCAGACACATAGCTCGAAGTGGCCTGAAATGCTCATCGCTTTAAAGGTTAATGTGTGCCACGCTACCGTATCATAAATCTTTGAGAAGGAAACGATTTTTTTTTTCTTTTTACATTCGACATTGATAGAACTCTTTGTCCTGTGGCAACAGTGGACACACAGGAAGATTTCCGAGTTTAAGTCGCGATTTCATATTAAAGCGAAGTTTTATAACGGTCGCTATCGTAAGTTGCAAAACACGGAAGTGTAAGTAGGCGGTTACATCAGAAAGCAACATTGAAAAAGCGGGTCAATGTATGCCACGTCGAAACGTTGATTTAAACGATTTTGAAATGTAAAAAAAGAACACTACAGAGCCGAAAGCTCGAATATCATCAAACCCAAGGGAGCTGAATCAATCTAAAATTGAACGGAAATTACAATCGGATTCGAATCAGGATCGCGGAACACACGGCG